TTAAATTTGTTGGCTCCCCAGCCGCAAATACTTAAAGATTAAATACAGAATTATAGAATAGGCGAATAAATCGAAGAAACATCAAGTGAGAAATGGAAAATTGTAAGGCAAAGGTAAGATTATGCAAAGTTACAATTCAGTAGTAGTTAAATGGTTACATAACTTTAAACGAATCACATTATTAGAATGCGAAAAAATGCGCAGGTCAACAGGTAGGAAGTTCCAGCATCTTGCAACGCGAATTATAAAAGACTTCTCAAATTGAGAGTTAAAAATCCTTGGTAAGACAATCTGGGTATTTCTAGTGGAACGGGTAAATTTAAACATATCGCACAGAGGCAAGGGTATACCAGTTTTAATAATTTTGTAAAAAAAAAGCAAATTGCGAAGGTCAATATATCGTTCGAAAGGCAATCCCAGAAACTGCTTAACAAATGGGGAAACATGATCACGCCGGCGAATATTATAGACATATCGGATAATAGAGTTAACAATGCATTTCAATTTAAGAACATTGTAATAGACAGTTCCAGATATGACTTCTAAGGCGTATGAAACCAACGGCATTAATAGCGCATAAGCAATTCTGAACTTAATCCATTTTGGAAAATAGAAACAAGTTGAGTAAAGTCTACGCAAAATTCCATAAACTCTAGCATGAACAGAGTCAATATGAGGTCCAAAATTAAGCCTTCTATCAATAATGACTCCCAAGCACTTATGCTGATCTAAAAATTGTACCATAGTTTGTCCAATAAAAATATTTATTACCATCTCATTAGAAGTAAATCGAATTGCTTTTGTTTTTAAAGGATTTATCGTCAAAGAATTGCTGCTTGTCCATTGGAGTATTGAATTAAGACACACATTTATATTATTTTCTAAAATAGTCTCACATCCCTTATCAGCACTAAACAATAAGAAAATATCATCAGCAAATACAAATGCATCACAGGAGTTTGTATTCAAACACGCAGAGAAATCATTAATATAAAGTATAAATAAGAGTGGTCCTAAAACAGAGCCCTGTGGTACACCAGAAGTCAGACGTGCAACCCTAGATCTTATACCATTCAATTCAACGAATTGAAACCTATGATTCATATAATCCATAATCAGTTTACACGCTGTATAGGAAAAATTAAAGCCATTCCTGAGTTTACGTATCATAGTAGCATAACATATAGAATTAAACGCTTTAGACAGATCCAAGGAAATCAAGATGCTCTCATAATTTTTATTCATGTTGCCTCTGATAGACTCGGTGAGATGCAACAGCAAAGATGTGCTACTATGACCAGCACGGAAAGCATATTGTGATTCAAAGATTTTATTCCTGGTAAAAGACAGAATTTGATTCTTTAATATATGTTCAAATACCTTGGATAAGACAGGTAAAATTGATATGGGCCGCATATCATCAAAGGAACGTATAGCAGAAGTTTTCGGGATAGGAACAACACGCGCTGTCTTCCATGCTATAGGAAAAACTGATGTAGTTATAATCGAGTTAAACAAGTCCAAGATCAAGTAAGAAATATGAGGAAACAAAATCTTTAAAAACTCAAGTGGTATTTCATCCACGCCAACAGACTTAGACTCAATTTTACCTAAAGCAATTGCAACATCCTCTCTACCTACACACTCAAATGAGTACGAATTACTAACATCTTCAAAGTGATCAACATCAAACAATCCAACTACATCAGGACCAGCACCTGATGCGAAAAAGTTATTCAGCGCATTAACATCATCATCGTAATCTGCACCCTCAGCACCTGAACAACCATACCTTTTTAAAGCCCGCCATAATTCTTTACAATTCATTCCATTAAAATGTCTAGAATAGAACTGACGCCGCACCTTTCTAATCAATGATTTAGCCCGGTTACGATATCTTTTGAAAATACTCCAATTCTCATTAGTGCTATTCTCTTGGAATGCTTTATATGACGCATCTCTTAAAGACTGAGCAAATACAATTTCCCTTCTACTCATCCACTTATGATCAAACGAATGAATTTTTCTTCTAACTGTAGGTACAAAAAGAAATAGCTCTTTTATAAGCAAATCAAGTAGCAAACATTTAGCATTGACGTCACTAGTTGAGAAGAATAAAGGTGTGTCAAAATTACTCAAGGTTTGTTGCAATCCATCCCAGTTTATATTATTGTAATCCTTGTACTCTATAATTTCATCCAAGGTTTTCATATTGATATCAAAAGAGGAAAAAATTAAAGCATGGTGTGATAATGAGGGACATTGGACTTGATTAGAATAATGGGGCTTTAAGCTGTCACTTATTAGCATAAAATCAATCAAAGAAAAGGAAGCATGAGCCACATCAAAGTGCGTCGGTATAGAGTTATGTAAAACGGATAAGTTCAACCTAGAGCACATAGCACGCATTAAACTACTTCTCGCAACTTTGAACATATCACAATTAAAATCACCAACAACAATCACATTTGAAAAACTCATTAACAAATCATAGTGAATTTCTTCGAAAGCCACCAGATCCCCTACAGGTGGTAAATAAACAACCCCAAAAACGCACTTTGTGTTGCCAGAATATAGTTCTAAAAAGAGCGATTCACACTTTCCCAACACTGAGGACTTAAAAACCAGTTTGTGTTTGAGGGATTTAGATACAAAAATGCACACACCTCCACCTCTTGACTGCTCACGATCATTCCTATAACAGTTATATCCTGGAATACTAATCGCTTTCCTGGAGACAAAAGGCTTCAACCACGTTTCCGAGATACCAAAAGCATCAATTTTGGATCCAGCCAACATTGCACTAAGTTCATCAAATTTAACTGAATTACTAGAAGGCCTTATGCTTTGGCAATTTAAATGAGCCACAATAAATCTTCCTTCGCTTGAATTAAAAATAGATCTAAAATACGTGTTTCCACTAATCGCCTCACCCATATTCATGTTAAAAGACATCAAAATTATACAAGGCACGTAAGATGGGGAACCAACAAAAATAATTATACAAATTCAGAGTATTATTAAAAAATTCCAGAAATTTCATTAAAATGCGAAAGACACAGCTAATCATAAATCTTACGAGATCAATATAATTGTAAACTCATATTATGAGAAAAAGAAAAAATTCAAAAGCTATAGTTATAGTGACAACAAAAATTATAACCTAGATTTAACAAAAGTTGAACTTCTTATAAGGACTGATATTATATTATGCCATTGTATCATCAAAACTAGGTTAAATATGTAGAAAAAGAAAAACTTAGTTTAGTGAAGCAGCATCATGTAGGAGCAAAATACATCGCTCAGTATCATAAATCACCTCCTTACCATCGGACAGCAGCAATTTGGCTCTAAGCTTATCAGCATTTAAAATTTTGAATTTTGTTACAATTTGCTTGCGAACCATACTCTTGCATATTGTATAAAGTTTTGCAGCAGCTGGAGAATAGTGGTCATTCAGGTAGATCCTTGCATTAATATCTCCTCCATCACCTTTCAGGATGTCCGAGACCTTTAGGGAGCGAGTCCGGAAGTACTCCTTCATAACTTTATCACGAATCAGTACACAATTGAATTTTACCAAGACCGCCTTGCGATTATGCATATAGCACACATGATGGATATCGTTTGCCGTAATGGGTATTTTGAAGAATTCACCCAAAGCAACAACAACAGCAATCAAATCATTTAAATGTTCAGGCAAACCCCCAATAATAAAATCTGCCCGGTTAAGCCTCCGATGAAGTATATTATTTTCCGCTTCCAAAGATTTCATTTTTAATGAAGTGCGAGAATCAACATCATCAATGCGGTTGTTACAACTTACAATATCTTCTTTCATGCCATTCAAACATGAAACCATCTCGGCTTTTATGTTATCAAGTGCACTTTTAATAGCATTCTGCTCAGCTTGATTTGTAGTAATAAAATTGTCGAATTTCTTATTGAGCTGGCGGATATCATCAGCAACACTTCCTGGATTGGCAAGTTTGTCTCCACAAGAACTACAAACAAATGCTGCTACTTTGATCGCCTTCATAGCCAACAATTCCTTATCAGATAGCTGGGCACATGATGCATGCACCCAGTGTGAGCAAATTATGCATTTGATGCTACCACTCTTCCCAACATTTTCAGAGCACACACCACATACAATTTTAGCGGCACCCGGCATATTGAACAAGAACAAACAGCATACAACAACAGCAACAAGTAGCGTAAAAAGCAAAGCAACTACAGTTAGAATCCAATTCAGCAATGTATTATAATCTTCACAGCAACACGCCAAACTCCAGATAAAGCTTGTATACTTTTCCACAAAAATCCAAAGTTTATCTTTTAAATTTCAATTTCTCCACAATGCTCTTACAAAATTCATAAAAGCAAACACAAATTTAGAGATGTATATACGCTTTAGCAAGACAAACGCGAAATATGATCAGCTGCACAATTTCTCACTTCTATTCAGTCATGGCGTTGCCAGATTTTGCACCGCTTTGAAATATCAATTTCAATTGCATTTTAAACATTTATTAGCTTCATCGACAGACTTGCAGACACTTAACAGATTTGCATTTGCCATTTCTCTGGCCCACTGAATGAAAAAATATAAATTTATTCAGAAACCAACGCGACTAGAAAACAAGCTTGCGGCATGCAAAAATAGCAGAACAAAAAGCGGAGAAAAATAAATGCAAATAACACAAACCAAAGAATGTGGTGAACAAAACAAAGAAACGATGATAAGAACAAACACGAGACACACGGACAGACAACAGGCAGCATATGTACGTCCGTATGTACGACAGATAGAAGAGGGAGAGAGACCTTGTAAGCAGACACATGAAATACGCAGAGGGACGGATAAAAATTAATTACTAGAATGTTCTACAAACATCGCGCAATCAGCGTTCATATGCAGAAAATGAAATAGGAAGACAAACAAAAAGAAAAAAATTCTATTAACAATTTCATTTTGCAAGCCTCTTCATTTCACTTACCTACGGCCGATTGTGCGTTCCTGCTTATCATTGCAGAAGGGTATTGCTGGACGGAGATGATGTTTATCAACTAATATTTGATCGTTGCTGGCCTTCTGGCTGGACGACGACATATTTTCTTCGTCGGCAGGTGGTACTGGGGGAGGCGGCGGTACTGGTGGTGAATCGGGAGATGGCACTGTGGGATGTTGATGAAGATGAGTGTTTATGGGGTCTAGTGTTGTTGCTGTAGCAACGGCAGCAGCAAACATGGACGTGAGAATTGCAAGATGTAGAAGAGATTTGCGACAATGTACGACACTCAGCTCATTTTGAATGCCCATAGTTTCGTTCTGTAGAACACGACGATCGGCGAAGCAAACTCTTCGCTACACTACATTCAAACGCGTGTGTTTTTGTTGTCACCTCTGTGGTGGGGGCAAACTACAAGACGAGACAAGCGGACGTGTGGGCAAGTGTCTCTTCGCGATCGATCAAATCACCGAAAAACAACAAACGTCACAATCAAGCAAAACCGAAGATAAAAACACAGAAACGATAAAAAACTTTTCTTTTTTTCTTTAGTTTATTTTGCGTAGCACTCGAGTTTAGCTCACGTCGTGTCTGTGTTTGTGAGACAGAGCTGTTACACGAAGAAGTTTTGAGGAATTGTGATTCTTTGAGGCACCCATCAAATACCACGACACCACCATGGAAGACGTCGTTTTTGGAATTGGGGCACGTCTATTCATTACTTTATACTTTGCAAGTATAGCAAACACACCGACGTATCTATGAATCGTCGAAAACTTGAAGATAAAATTTCAATTTTTATAAAAGGAGAAGAAAATGCACGCAGTACAAAACGGCAGTGTACCAAGTCAAAAGATATTTCGCAACTAAAAAAATGACAGACAGGTGGGAAATTAAGAAATGGAGAAAAAAATCGATAAATGGACTATCGATTTCTTGTTATGAACATCGATTACTTATAGCATGTTTCCAAATTAGAAGAATATAACCTGGTGTTTACACAAGACAATTTTGATCTGCTACAGAACCTGCTAGAATCTACTAGTTTTGCAAATTTTTTTTGATATCATAAAGGGGAAATCCTAGTAAACACTTTTACATTATTGCCGTTCTGGAACAGACCAATTGTCTCTGATCCACTAATTCAACTATTTTTCTCGCTGTCTAGCATTTTTCCAACTTGACGATTTAGACCATTTTCCAAATTTCTTTGCTTATTATAAAATACATATGCTCTGATCCAGAATCTGCAAGTATTCACTAGTTTAGCAATATTTTTCGATATCATAAAGGAAAAATGAGTTATCGTAGTAAAAAGTTTTTGGTATGTTCTCATTGCAATTTCAACCACGTTGTTCGCTCTCAGAATTAGGTACACGAATGAATCCGTTCATACGACACGATTCGTAATTCATAGTAATTTAATTCCTTTTTTTAAATTTTTTGTTTGTTGACTTTTATAGGATTTTGTACGAAAGTATATAAAATTAGCATTAATAATAATAGAAGAAATTATTGTTTCTCCTCTAAATCATTTTTATCGATACAAAAATTTTGAAAATATTGCCTCTTTTGTTTCCAGTTTTCTGTCGAATTTTCAACTTGTGGACAAAAAGCGTACCTCAGACGAGAGAGAAAACAAAATTTACTTTCGTTTGAATGCAGATACACCATGGTAGAAGAATACAGGTAGTAGCATCGACACAGCTGCTGGGACAATGAACTGTCAAACTAATTTTGGAATTGAAAATTTTGAATGAAAAATTATTGAAATTTGTAAAAATTTTTTTTTTTTTTTTTTTTTTTTGGGATCGGTAATTGGTTACGCCGTCAAGACGAGGTTGGTACGATACCTTAAGTATGCATGTACCATTGCTTTGTATTCGATTAGTGGTTATCGATAATTATCTTTTTCTTTCTTGTTTTTCATTTCTTTGCTTCCTTGTAGTGTTGTGCTGCGTCGCGTAAAATCCATTTTACAGCTGTATATTGTTTTTGTGAATGAATGTGCATAATTCATGAAAATTTTCAGTGGCGAAACTTTTGAGTAGCGCAGGTAAGTTTGAAAAATTTGTAAAAATGTTGTAATTTAATCTGTCATTATTAAATTTAGGACAGACAAAGAGTTGGTGATTTTCGGTGTTTGGAGTGTTGCAAGTGTCGCATAAGTTGGAGGTTTCAGCGTTTATGAGAAATAGGTAAGTTTTTCCGTATGTGTGACCGGTGAATAGTCGATTTATGAGTTTGATCTCTCCAGGGGGCATGTTGGAACCTGCATACCAGTGACGAGACGGCGGTTCTGGGAAAAATTGAGAGAAGTATGTGCCTTTAGAGATTGAGATGTTTTTATAATTTTCCTTCCATTCGTTCCATAGATGCTGATAGATTTGGGAGTGAGCATCTTTTACTGAGAGGTCTGATTGAATTATAGAGCCGACTTGAGCCGCATGTTTGGCGAAGAAATCTGCACGCTCATTTGCAGGGATGCCAATATGTGAGGGAGTCCAGATAATGGTGAGTTGTGTAATTTTTGAGTTATTTACTTTTCGGAGTATATTATTTGCCAGGTAGTTTTGAGTTGTATTTCGTGTTAGTAATAGACAAGCATTTTTACTGTCCGTTATGATAGTGGCCTTATTAATGTTGTCTTCTATGATAATGTCTATGGCCTTCTTGATAGCATGTAATTCTCCCATTAGTGAAGACATTTTACTAGGTATTTTAAAAAGGAAGTTTTGGTTATATGAGATGTTGCATACTGCACATCCGGTAGAGGCACTGGAAACCGAGGCATCAGTTGACCAAATTGTATGACCTGTATTTTTTAACCTTTCAACTTTTTCTTGTAGGATCATTCGATAGAATTCATTTGGTTGGGTATTTTTGGACGAGTTGAACAAATTTATGATGAAAGTGAATTTGTTTCCGGGGTATTCAATTTGATTTACCACAACTTTGTCGAAGATGTGTTTAAATTTGATGTATATAAGGCCCAAACTTGTCTTGTTGGAGGGGTTATTTATAATGTTTTGGTACAATTGTCGATTGTGACATTTAAATTTGATTAATTCTTTCGCTGCGAGATATTGAGATCGTTGTTCCGGTGGTAGCATCAATGCTAATGCATAGATTGCGTGGACAGGTGTTGACGGTGTAAGGCCAAGACTTCTTCTTAGCATCTGATTTTGAAAAGATGTAAGTTTTCTGTTCAAGTAAGTTGGCATATGAGCCATTGAAGAGATGCAGTACTCTGTTTTCGAAAAAACTATGGATTTTGCTAGATTAATAGCAATATTTGGGAGTAGACCTTGTTTGATATTGTTGATCATTTTTAATGCATTTATTGACTTGTTGCAGGACAAGATAACATCATCATAGTGTTCTTTAAGAGATAAACTGTTTTTTATGTGCCTTCCTAAAAACTTAATGCTGTTAACCGATGTAATTTGTGTGCCTTGTAAAGTGATGGTAGGAGTTTTTCTTGGTCCTTTGGCTACATACATAGCGGCGGTTTTGTTGATATTGTAGTTTAGGTTCAAGCGTGATAAAAGATATTGAAATTCAGTGGCTTTTAATTGCAGATTTTGATTGGCCGATTCAAAGTTCTTATGCGCAGATAATAATATGAAATCATCCGCAAATTGAAACAGATGTGTGTTGTCATCAGAAATCCCATGTAGACCAAGGGTATATAAGTTAAAAAGAGTAGGACTTAAACAGCTGCCTTGTGGGAGCCCATTGAAGATTTCAAGAGATTCATTTCCCATAACGATAGTTCTTTTGCTTAAAAAATTAATAATCCAATCAGAGATGTCACTCGGACAGTTGAGTTCGCATAGTATTTTAAGGAGAATTTCGATACTGACACAATCATATGCTTTTTCTACGTCTAACGATAGAATAATCACTTTCTCACCTCTGTTTTTGTAGTAATTTATAGTGTGCAGTAAGTTGTTGATACACATCGAAGTGGACATATGTTTTCTGTATGCAAATGTATTTGTTGGCAAAATATCATTTTCGTCGATGAATTGTTGCAGACGTTCTTTCACCATTAAATTTATTATTTTTAAAGGAACTGATATTAAGGCTATCGGTCTGAAGTTTGTAAACAATTCTAGATCTTTGCCTTTTTTTGGTATCGGGATAATTTTAATTTTTCGCCATTCATCTATGATTTCGCACTTTTTCCATAAACAATTTATTGCTTCCAAAAAGTTTGTTTTTGCCGATTCGGCTAGATTATTTATCATTTCGTATGTTATACCGTCAAGGCCAGCAGCTGAGGGTTTCTTTTTGTTTTTGAGAACCAGTAGAAACTCTTCCATTGTTAAATTGGACCGATTATAAGTAGTTTTGCTGACATAATTAATTGGATTGTTGTCTGGAACTTGATCTCTGAGGTGGCATAGAAATTGTTTGTTGTTATTTGGGGACCATTTGCTTTTGCTGTTTGATGATAAACTATTTTTGCACCCACGAACAAATTGAAAGAGATGTTTTGAACTGGGCTCCTTGTTTAGATTTTGTATTTTATTCATGAAATTGTGTTTTTTGGCAAATTGGACGGCATTTTTAAAGTTTTTTATCATTTTAATTAGATTTCTTGCATTTATATCATTGTCATCATTATCACGGATTGTATTTCTTGAAAATTAGTATTTAGTTGGATTGTACTTAACTTTTTCATTAGTTGTTTTTTGGCCAAAAAAGTTTGACCCTTGCACTTTGTGTTGTTAATATTTAAAATGACAGGAAAATGATGGCTTCCACCGATCATATTTTTGAAAGTTTTCCATTGAATTGGTAAAATAGAGTTTGTGAAAGACAGGTCCAGAACGGATCCACTCAAATCATTTATATTTTTTTTAAAGGTATAACTACCATCGTTTAAACATTGAAAGTTGGAATTATCAAAGATTTCTTTTATTGTTTTTCCACGCTGTGAGACAAATGAGTCACCAAATGCTGAGTGTCTAGCATTGAAGTCACCACATATGAAAGTGTTACTTTGATTATCAAGTAATGATATTAATTTGTTTAGTTCTGTTTTTATAGTTGCACATCTGACTGAGTGGGGAAAATAAATGGATACCAGAGTTAAATTGTTTGTTAAATTTGTGGTTTGGCAAATCAGAATATCCAAGGAGGTTTCAAAAGTAATCTTTTTGAATTGTATATTTTTTTTGAAAAGTAAGGCTACACCACCATAATTATCACTTCTTTTTTTCGATACTATACTGAATCCTTGTATAGATGACGAGTTTTGACTTTCGTCTATATTAAATATTTCACTCAAAAAACCTATGTCAATTTTTTGCTTTTTCAGAAAAAATTCGAGGTAATTTTTGTTTTTGTTTAAACTTTGCACATTGTATTGAAGCACGTTCATGATTTTAATAAAAGTTTATTGTAAATTTGCAGGATCTGTATTATTATTTGGCACTTTGTTATTTGGTTCCTCAAATGGACTATCTATTTCCGATGAAAGGAGTGATTGCTGGAATTTTTTTAAGATGTTTAAACCTTCGGCACTATTAAGTGAGGTAAGGACTTTTGACATTTCTTTTGAAAATTGTGTTAATGCTTTTTCAATTTCAGATACTTTTGAAAAGGTAGTATGGTTGAAGACGGATTGAGATGGTGTGATTTGAATCGGACTGGCAATAGCGTGATGGATTGGATTTCGTGGAGACGCAACTTTGCTATATTTTAATTTTGTTACTCTTTTGTTTATTTCTTCATAAACGCTTCTTTTTGGTGGTTTGTTTTTATTAAGAGGGGGAAAGGCATTGTTAAATTCATCATCAGAAAGGATTTGGAAACGGTTTTGGGATTCTGGATATTTTTGAACAACTTCTTTTCGTGAAAGGTTGGAAAGGGCCATTATGCTTCTTATATTTCTTTCAGATTTCCATCTTGGGCACTGCTTTGAGTCGGTTGCAAAATGATCAATACTATTACAGAGAATGCATCGAGGCGAGTTGCATATATCCTTGCACGTAGTTGTTGATAAACATTCTTTACATTTCTGCTCTTTGGGACATTGATTGGGGCATAGAATAAATTTACCACAATTTAAACATTTTTTCGTCGACCTGCAACGAATGGCTATCACCCCGATTCTTAATGACAATTCCCTGGGAATTTTTTCCCTATTCCCTGTTCCCCTATTCTAAATAAAATCTCCCGGGGAATTTTTTCCCTTTTCCCTTCTCCCTTATTCTAAATGAACTTCGAAAATGGGAAACTCTTCCCCGGGAAAAAAGTAGGTATTATGAATGTCAATAAAAGGGCGAATGTGATAACGAATTTTGGGAATAATTCCGCCAAAAAATTGCAAGCGAGTTGTGCCAAAAAATGTAAGTATTTAAAATTTTTCATGAAAAATGAAAAAAAAAACATTTATTTTTACTTTCAGGTCAAAAACAACAAACAAAAAGCAGTTAGACATTCTGCTTACCTCTATGCAATTACATAGCGATATTGCGCGAGGTTGGTTTAAGGGAGGAAAAGAGGAGCTAAACCGGGTATGGCGCAATTTGGAGGCGGAATTAAATGCTGCCGGGCCACCATCAAAAAGTGTTGCCGAGTGGAAGAAGGTATGTACCACAAAATTTGATTTGTACAATGCACAAATGACAAAAATGCAAAACCTTTTTCAGGTATGGGCCGATCAAAAAAAGTATGTACGGCAGAAGGCGGCACAAAACCTCAAATACTCCAGAGGAACTGGTGGAGGCCCCAACATGGAGCAGAAGTTTTCTGCAAACGAAGAGGCCATATACGATTTGGTTGGCATGAAGGAGTCAGTGGAAGGTGTGGCCATCAAGTATGGGTTAGGATCTTCCACTTCTACAATACAGAACCCAGAACGCCTTCCAAATGAAATTCTGGAGTTGCTAGAGCCAGACGGAGAGGAGGCTGAATGTCCTGCGGTGCACAGCAATGAAGACACTCCGCAAAAGCCGCCGGCGAAAAAAATTAAAATAAGTGGCCAGCATTTCAATACACAGGCATCCGCTCGCGACGTTCTATCAGAAGAGATAGACATTCAGAAACGTATGTTGGATGCAATGATTGAGCAGCAACAAATTTCAAAAAAGGTGTATCGTTCTATTGACCGCCTTTATGAAGTCAAAAAGGAAGAACTAAAAGAGCAGAAAAGGCACAATTTAATTATGGAAAAATTGCGGCTAAGAGAAGTGGAGGATAAAATTGAAAAGAACCGCCGACTCTTAGAACTGGAAGAACTGAAAAATAATCTAGAAAGTACCTGAATATATATATATACACATACACACAGACTGAAAACGTGCATATGAACGTACCTGTAAATAGTATTAGTTTTGTTTTTAGTTTTAGAATATGAATTTATGTGTTTTCTTTTTGTTTGTTTTTGAACATGAATTTTATTGAGTTTTTTTTTGGTTGTTTTTGAATTGTTTTTTAGTTTGTTTAAAATAAAATGTGATGCTATTCCTATGTGATAACTAATCCTATGTTTTATTATTTTAATTTACAAATATACATTAGGCTGTCGCAATATATATAAGTGATTGATTGCCGTTTATTAGTGTCTGAGTCTAAATTTAGGGGAATATCTACTACAGATTATGTCCAATATTATTTCTAATATTTTGGGCAACCGACAAATACTGCTGCGTGGCCAAGGATACTACATCACTATCACTATATTGTATGCTAATACTATCAACATGTTCAACATCGTTGACGTCAGTATTGCATTTGAAATGAATGCATATATTATGCAAGGCACAGCAAACATTTGTGATTTTTGCGGCTTTTTCAGGAGAATAGTGCAACTCCCTAGCACCAAGAATGCACCTCCATCTATTTTTCAAAACGCCATTGGTGCGTTCAACTACATTGCGGCACTTTGAATGGATTTCATTGAATTTAATTTCAACTGATTCATCCTGTGGACATCTATGAGGGGTCAAAAGCCACGGTTCTAGAGAATACCCTGCATCTCCTAGTAAAAAATAAAATATTAATTTGTGAATACTTTCTGTTGTCATTCAAAACCTTACCAAGGAGCCAATATTTACTACCGCCTGTTCGATAGACTTCCTCAAGGTGGGCTCGCAACTCGCTGGTATTCCAAATGAATGAATCGTGGCACGCCCCAGGATGCGATGCATCCACGTACTGAATCCTCAACTCATGATCACACACCTGTAATTTTTGTTGTTGTTAAAAATCAATTATTGATCATTCCGATGAATATCTTGAACACAAACAATCAGCGAAACTACTTACCAGCATAACATTCAAACTATAGTAGCCCTTCCTGTTGTAATATAAGTGCTTATTGGCGGAGGGAGCAATAATGCGGACATGTGTTCCGTCAACGCATCCTATAACGCTCGGAATGCCATGCTTTATATAAAGCGCTAAAGCAATTTTACGTTTCTCCTCTTCCGTTCTGCAGAACCTTATCCATTTTGGGCAGAGATGTTTCTCAAATATATTTATGACTTCCGTGAGAACTTTGCTAAGACTACACTGGGCCACAGACACGTCGCAATCTTTTCCTATGCCTGTTTGGTACCCGCCTTCCGCAAAGAAGCGTAGAGCCGCACTTAGTTTCACAACAGGAGAAACTGCAAATGACTTACGTTTAGGTTGAATGTTGGAAGTTAACACGCCCAACAGATACTTGAATGCCGGTTTGTTTACCCTATAATATTTTTCAAATCTTTGAAAAGTAAGATTCTTGTTAATAAATAAAATTTAATAATAGTTTATTCATGTATGTACTTACAAAGATTGAGGCAACTCAAGTGGGTTGATGGCATCGCGTAACCTTCTCCTTTCTATCCTTTGCATATTTTTCTCCTGCTGCTGCACTTCAGCGTTTTCTGCATCAGCTAGCATCACAAACGCAACACTAAACATTTTTAAATTGTTTTTTTATAGTTCTTTTTTTATTTTTAATCACTTTATGCTTTTGAAGTCATAAAAATATTTGCAAATTGTTAGCCAAACAAAACAGCTGACGCAAAACAGCTGACTTCGAATAATCGAAATTCTCTCTCCCTTATTACCATTCTCCCCGTTTGTTTAGAATAGGAGGATTTTATTCCCGGGAAAAATAATCTCCCCGGGAATAATCTCCCGGGGAGTATTCAGAATCGGGCTGTATGTGTCCTAACCGTCCGCAGTTTAAACATAAACGTACAGGGGGGACATATAACTCCGGTGTTATTTTTGTTCCGCACATAAGTATCTCCGTGGGTACACCATCATATATAATACCGATTTTTATGGTTTCGGAGTATTCCATTTTATTGTTTTCGGATTTTCTAGTGAAGCGGTATAATGAAACAACGTCCATATCATTATTAGCTTCAATTTGTTGTTTAATTGTTATAGCAGAAATACTTATTGGTACATTCTTGATTATATAGAACCGTTGTACAAAACGTTCTGGGATAAAGGCTTTGAGATCGATTTGGTTTAACTTTGGGTTCGTAGCAAAGGAGTTGGCTGAGGTAGCATTGTTAAATGTTATTCTGAAAAGATTGTATCCAATGTTCTTGCAAGCATAGTCTGTAATATTAATCTTTTGAAATCTTGCATACAGGTGAAGTTCACAATTCTTTCTTCTTGTGCTAATTGGCGTTTCTGAGGAAACTAACACATGAAAAGGACCGGGATGGTATTGAAGATACAAAATGGTTTCTTTATTTAGAGAGTTGTAGTTGTGTTGTTCTGCCATTTCATTATTTGATGTAGGTTCTGTGTTTGTGTTTATTGGTTTTACAGGTGTTCCATTTTGGTTTTTGAAAGTTTTAGTTTCTTTGGAAATGCTTGGAGCTCTTCTTTTATTTTGTTCCCCCGGAGGAGGAGGTGGAATAGGCGGAGGAGGAGGTTCCCCTACTCCCCCCATTTTTTTTAATGAAGGATTATTTTAACTTTTGTAAGAAAAAAAATTGCAAAAGCAGGGAAAAGAAAAAAAAACTCAAATTTGTTTATGTTTGTGTGTGTGAATGCGTTGTTTGTATATTTGTTGTTGTTTTGAAATAAAAGCACAGCGACCAGCGCGAAAAACAGTCTAATGTCAACAGATGTTGATGAGCGACTGATTTGTAAAAAACTTCCGATTTGCATCGTATGAGAAAGCATTTAAATATCTACTTATTTTTAACAAAACATTTCAAAATTTTTGACACATCAATGTTCCCAAGGGTTGGTGCATCTACCTATATTCTTCTACCATGACATACACCATCCAACATTATATCTTTCATGCATAACTTTCAGTCTTACTGAAAAAATTTGAAATTTCATTAAAATTTTTCTAATTTTAATTTTGACATGTCATAATTTATTTTTTCGATAAATGCTCTCATTTGTTATGGCACACATTTCATGGTAGTTCCATGGTAGAAGAATATACAGAGCTGCTGGTAAAATGAACTGTCAAACCAATTTTGGAATTGAAAATGTTGAATGAAGAATTATTTAAATTTGTAAAACTTATTGAAAACGCGAATTTTAATAGCCTCCGAATGACGTAGTATAAGAAAACATATAAAAATCTACTTATATTTGAAAAAATATTTAATTTTTTTGACATATCAATGTTCCCAAGCGTATCTGTATTCTTCTACCATGGGTAGTTCCATGGTAGAAGAATACAGGTAGTCGCATCGACACAGCTGCTGGGACAATGAACTGTCAAACCGATTTTGGAATTGAAAATGTTAAATGAAAAATTATTTAAATTTGTAAAAATTGTTGAAAAATTCATATTATAACAACCTCTGATTTGTGTTGTATAAAAAAACATTTCAAAATCCACTTATTTTTCATAAAACATTTTAAAATTTTTGTCATATCAATATTCCCAAGCGTTGATGCATCTACCTATATTCTTCTACCATGGGGAGTTCTAAGAGTTATGTGAAATTTTTGATAGAACAGCGAATAATAATTGCAAACATTTGGTCTGTTCCAGAATTGCAAGAATGTAAACGACTTTACTACGATAAACGATTCCCTTTATGAAATCGGAAAAACTAGTAGATTCTTGCAGGTTCTGGAACAGAGCACATGTCTTTCCGTTTTTAACTTTCAAACCGTTGTTTTTGTGAATTATTGAGCAAATTAAATAGAGAGTATGCGGTAGGATTTGAATTTTGGATTCAAAAATCGAGTCGATTTAAAATGACTAGTCTAAATAGGCGACATCACTAAGGCTGTGCCCGTTTCCTGTCAGAATTATTCAAAATTAAATGCAACAAGTTGTTTTTATTTATTTTATATTTTTAGATATATATGAAGCGAGTTAAATAGTACAAAAGGTAAATTAAATGGCTCCTTCAAAAATACTGTGGAGTCTTTCGATTCCATGGCCAAACTGCATACTAGCTTTAAAGGTGTGACTACATAAACAGCTTAAAGTCTTCGCATGGCATACTTTGTGACATATATTGAAGGGATGTCAGAGCCGCACTCGAATCCTGCCTTTGTTTCTCCTTACAATTCAATTAAAATGCCTAGCCATGATGTCAAGCTGCTAATGTACCCTCACCTTAATGCTCGCCCCGCTATGTACGTTTCTTCCAATCATTGATTTTGAAAATATTTTGCTTTTATATTTCAATTTCAAATGCAGATCTGATGTTGTGGCCGCTTCCTATTAGTAGCGCGAAAAAGGAGTGAAATGTCATTTTCTTTCAAAAATATGATCCAAATTCCTCAATATTTCAATTCCGTGGCAAAACTGATAAATATCTTTAATTTGAGCCCCGCAATATGTGTTTCCTCCAATCATTAGGTCATCACATTCGCCATCATCCTTTTGTGGTTACTCTTTTGATAATGTTGGAAAGCCGATGCCTTGGTTTATCCATTTTTTTTATACATTTGATAGATTTGGCTTCAACATTCCCTTTCTCGGGCAGAATTTTTGTATTAATTGCTAAAACAAAGAATTTATAAAGATAGGAAAGGTTGACCATTTAGATACCTTGACTTCTCATCGCATAGAAAAATGTTTTAAAACGTTTTGGTTTAATCCTCTTTCAATTTGCTGATTACTTTTCATCCTGGTCAAACATAAACATTTCAATGAAGCCAGGCGCACACTGCCATTAAAAGCAACTGAATTCCATAACTGTTGAAGAAGCTTAACCTTGAAATTCATTTCGACAAAAAGAAGACCTCTAAACCTCAGTTTGATGTCGTTCCCAAAACACACAACATAAATATTTCGAATTCTAAGCTACGGCGAATAATTCAGCTCGTAATCATACAACACTTCAGTTCAAGTAAAAAAAAGTTTTTGAACATTTTTGGCAAGTTTTCTATTGACCCATTTAATCTGAAATTCAATATGGTTTAGCAATTTAAGTGAACGTGGCTAAGAAGTGGCAAGTAAAAAATAAAATAAGAGCAGCGTATCAGGCAGAGAAAAAAGCAAGACAGTTGCGACTTGAACACTACATTCATGTAATTCTCTAAGGTATTAGGGCTATGTGCGGGCGGTGTTTTCGAGTTACGAGCTAATATCAGTCCTCAGCGGATGGATTGCTTTCATATTAACCAATAATTGAAGTTAAAAATTAAATTGATATATTGGCTTATATCACAAATCTTTCCCTTTTCATTGCACTGAAGATTCGGATTTGGATATAGCTCCCATATATATCTTTGACCAAATTCACGTTAATACATTCCTAGTAGCATGGCAGAAGAATATAGGTAATCGCATCGACACAGCTGCTGGGACAATGAATTGTCAAACCAATTTTGGAATTGAAAATTTTGAATGAAAAATTATTTAAATTGATAAAATCGATTAAAAAATGTACATCATAACAACCTCCGATTGGCGTCGTATAAGAAAATATATACAAATCTACTTAGTTTTGAAAAAAAAAAAAAATAAAAAATATTGACATATGCCATGTTTACGCTTGAACTTTTTTTAGGGTTAACCTACTTTGAGAGGATTTATTTGAAGTAAAAGTAATGGATATGACAATTTAAATCCAAATCCAGTGGGTTATCCCTCATATATATAAACGTACTTATATCAATGTTCCCAAGCGTTGATGCATCTACCTGTATTCTTCTACCATGCTTAGTAGTAAGTTGATAAAATATGGTGAAACTCGGTTCAGATATAGCTGCCAATTTCATCAATGTGAGACACAGGCTCGTGGGACAACAATTAACACACCATCTGCCTTCATTTTCTGACACATTGGCCGACAACCGGACAACCTCTTTAATTATTTTATTAGTTTTCCCAATCTCTTCTCTCTTTTCTCCATTATAGGATGAGATGAACCAGTGGGTTTCCGAGTGGAGTGTTTACCCTAAGGCAAATGCGCGCCCTAACCTAGCTCCCACATATATGTTAATCGTATCTGTACTACATAAGGATAATATTCGGTACACGATATCAGATACAGGCCGGACATTCTTTTGCAAAGTTTCGAAAATATAGCTATAATATTTAGTAATCAAGTCATTTGGAGGCATGCGACATTTGCTCTTTCCCCATTATCCCAGACAGTATATCAAAATCACCTCTAACCATCCCCTACAAGGTGACCAAGGTCATCTAACGCGGGCTCGCGTGACTACAACATCACAAAAACACAACATTGTGACTAAGTATGCTTCCAAAAATGACTGAAAATTCTTTTATTTCGCTCACTCATCCATCACACTCAATACTAAGGTCTTCCTATATCTTTCCTTTCTTCTTTGACCTTTTCTACTTAACAAAACAAGCGAGCACAACTTCATAATTATTATTTTCTTTTCTTCTGGTTTTTATTGGTATTTGCAGTTGTTATGTATAACATAAATTTGAATTTCAACAGGGGATTTCTAAAACTAACATATTCCGTATTCCAAAACATACAAATAAGATGATGAATGAGAAGATTATTGATACAACATTTTTGGAACATAAATTTGTGGACAATATTCTTCTTGGCCAGTAAACAATCGACAAGTCTTATATTAATAATAAAAACTACAAATGGATACAAATTAAATTAAACTTATTCAAAAAAAAAATTAACATGTATCGACTAAATACAAAGTTCATTCTTGCCGCCGCATAGCAAAAATCCGATATCGGGCTACAGAAAATATTATTAATACACCATGCCATCGTTAGTGTGTGTGTGTGCTAACAATCAGAATAGCTTCTGAATAGAATCTTTTAATGACACTAAAATTCACTATTTTTCCTATTTTTCACCCGTTTCACGTTGTTTACATTTATCTATGCACTCCTTTAGTTTAGCACTGAAATTTTCTGCCAATTCAACTTTTTTGAAGCGTACTGCCAGCTTCTCCAATTCTCCTTCTGTCGATTCGGCATAATTCATGGTGGCCCAAACAAAACTCTTCGGATTATTATTCATATTCGCAAAGTGAAAGTCACCGGTGATGGCATGATTGAGTACTAATTTATGTATTTGCTCGCGGCGCATTACCAAACGATAGGATTGCTTAACGGGATGCATTAAAAGTTTTAATTCGCCAACACCTGAAATAAAGTTTATATTAAATGGACGAATCAAATATATGTGTGTGACGACAACTTGCCTCTTTCTTTCCATTCCTTGTTTGTGGCATCATATCTGTAGAGTGTTGCTCGTTCTCCAAAAATTTTAGTTTCTTCTTCTTCGCCTGTTGTGACGACGATTTCATTTGGCAACTCTATAATGGGGTCATAATGAGGATCGTAATTTTCATCATTTTCACCGCCGGCATCGTCGCCTCCAGCACCACCATCAATGCTCTTTTGAGACACAGCTGCTGGGACAATGAATTGTCAAACCAATTTTGGAATTGAAAATTTTGAATGAAAAATTATTTAAATTGATAAAATCGATTAAAAAATGTACATCATAACAACCTCCGATTGGCGTCGTATAAGAAAATATATACAAATCTACTTAGTTTTGAAAAAAAAAAAAAAAAATAAAAAATATTGACATATGCCATGTTTACGCTTGAACTTTTTTTAGGGTTAACCTACTTTGAGAGGATTTATTTGAAGTAAAAGTAATGGATATGACAATTTAAATCCAAATCCAGTGGGTTATCCCTCATATATATAAACGTACTTATATCAATGTTCCCAAGCGTTGATGCATCTACCTGTATTCTTCTACCATGCTTAGTAGTAAGTTGATAAAATATGGTGAAACTCGGTTCAGATATAGCTGCCAATTTCATCAATGTGAGACACAGGCTCGTGGGACAACAATTAACACACCATCTGCCTTCATTTTCTGACACATTGGCCGACAACCGGACAACCTCTTTAATTATTTTATTAGTTTTCCCAATCTCTTCTCTCTTTTCTCCATTATAGGATGAGATGAACCAGTGGGTTTCCGAGTGGAGTGTTTACCCTAAGGCAAATGCGCGCCCTAACCTAGCTCCCACATATATGTTAATCGTATCTGTACTACATAAGGATAATATTCGGTACACGATATCAGATACAGGCCGGACATTCTTTTGCAAAGTTTCGAAAATATAGCTATAATATTTAGTAATCAAGTCATTTGGAGGCATGCGACATTTGCTCTTTCCCCATTATCCCAGACAGTATATCAAAATCACCTCTAACCATCCCCTACAAGGTGACCAAGGTCATCTAACGCGGGCTCGCGTGACTACAACATCACAAAAACACAACATTGTGACTAAGTATGCTTCCAAAAATGACTGAAAATTCTTTTATTTCGCTCACTCATCCATCACACTCAATACTAAGGTCTTCCTATATCTTTCCTTTCTTCTTTGACCTTTTCTACTTAACAAAACAAGCGAGCACAACTTCATAATTATTATTTTCTTTTCTTCTGGTTTTTATTGGTATTTGCAGTTGTTATGTATAACATAAATTTGAATTTCAACAGGGGATTTCTAAAACTAACATATTCCGTATTCCAAAACATACAAATAAGATGATGAATGAGAAGATTATTGATACAACATTTTTGGAACATAAATTTGTGGACAATATTCTTCTTGGCCAGTAAACAATCGACAAGTCTTATATTAATAATAAAAACTACAAATGGATACAAATTAAATTAAACTTATTCAAAAAAAAAATTAACATGTATCGACTAAATACAAAGTTCATTCTTGCCGCCGCATAGCAAAAATCCGATATCGGGCTACAGAAAATATTATTAATACACCATGCCATCGTTAGTGTGTGTGTGTGCTAACAATCAGAATAGCTTCTGAATAGAATCTTTTAATGACACTAAAATTCACGATTTTTCCTATTTTTCACCCGTTTCACGTTGTTTACATTTATCTATGCACTCCTTTAGTTTAGCACTGAAATTTTCTGCCAATTCAACTTTTTTGAAGCGTACTGCCAGCTTCTCCAATTCTCCTTCTGTCGATTCGGCATAATTCATGGTGGCCCAAACAAAACTCTTCGGATTATTATTCATATTCGCAAAGTGAAAGTCACCGGTGATGGCATGATTGAGTACTAATTTATGTATTTGCTCGCGGCGCATTACCAAACGATAGGATTGCTTAACGGGATGCATTAAAAGTTTTAATTCGCCAACACCTGAAATAAAGTTTATATTAAATGGACGAATCAAATATATGTGTGTGACGACAACTTGCCTCTTTCTTTCCATTCCTTGTTTGTGGCATCATATCTGTAGAGTGTTGCTCGTTCTCCAAAAATTTTAGTTTCTTCTTCTTCGCCTGTTGTGACGACGATTTCATTTGGCAACTCTATAATGGGGTCATAATGAGGATCGTAATTTTCATCATTTTCACCGCCGGCATCGTCGCCTCCAGCACCACCATCAATGCTCTTTTGAGACTCGTTAGCTTTTGATTTGCTGGCAGATGTGTCGGCATCTTTGAGAGGTTTGCTGAAACTTGAAAACGCATCTTGATTTGTTAAACCTATAAAGCCACCAGGGCCAGGTTTTTCAGATTTTCCCAACAACGACTGACTGTCTGCTTTGGCTGCAAGGCTGGCAAAATCTATGGCAGCTGTGGAAGTCTTAGATAGATCTGCAAACGCCGTTCCTGTCGATGCACTTGGCGTTGTCAGCTTAGTGCCAGCATCTTTAGCAATGCTACCAAATGTTGGTGCATTTGATCCGAATATTGAGCCTTGTGTAGAACCAAATCCGCCGAATCCACTATTATTTGTTGTGGCCGAGGAGCCGAATATTGATGTACCACTTCCAACACTTTGGGTGGTATTGTTGGCGGATGTGCCAAAGATAGATTTTGTGGTGTCTGCACTGCCTGAGGTGTTAAAAGCAGGTGAACCAGATCCAAATACAGGCTTGCCGCCAAATATTGAACCGGACGATGTTCCTGTTGTGGCAGAACCACCAAATATGGATTTTGTGGCAGCCGTTCCGGCTGTTGTGGAATCCGCAACAGCGGTATTACTACTGGTAGTGTTAGATCCACCGAATAGATTTGTTTTAACTGCAAATGGAGATTTGCTTTCCTGGGAAGCCCCGCCGAATATGGAACCGGTTGTTGCTGTAGTCGAACCTCCTCCCAAAGCTGATCCACTGCCAAACAAGAATCCCCCTGAGCCCGCTGTTGTCTTCGTTTCTTCTGGGGGTTTAGTCGTACTGTTCAGTGCTGCGGCAAATGAAAATGTGGCATTAGAAGTCTTTTCTCCCGCAGGAGCACCAAACGCAGTGGAATTAGCTCCTCCAAAGCCGCTGAAGATACTCTCATTTATTTTGGTAGTCTCGGTTTTTGCAGATAGTGGTGACAACGCACTTTGTTTAAGGATCGTGCGATTCGAAGACTTGTTTAGGAGCGATAATTCCGGCAGTTCCATTAGCTCAAGCGGGTTCTTGCTATCGTCGGGACTGACAAACTTTTCGCTCGTCTTTATTTCTGCAAACACAAATTTGTCGGGATCGCAACCTCGGCATCCTGTACAAGTTGGTTTAGCTGTAAAGAATTCATATGGCAATTTCAATTTGTCTGCGGTCTTTTTGTCTTCATCGGAAATATTTAAAGCGCTGGCCGGTGCACTTGTATTTGTAGGTGTTGTGATTGAAGTGTTGGCTGGCGCCTCTATGACTTCTGCAGTTCCATCCAAAGCTTTCTTAACTGCTGTCATGAATTCTTCAGCAATTTCCTTGGTTTTGAATCGCAACGAAAATTGTTCCAATTCGACTGCACCTTCGCTAAAATCGTTGACAACAAACAGCCAGGACTTTTCGTCTTTGCGTTTGTAGTCGACATCTTCATTGAGTACGTGATTGAGACATATCTTCAGAACCTGCTCTCGTCTCATGACAACGCGTAGCTTCTTCGTTTGTTTGTGGCGTAGAATTTTTACATTGCCAAGACCTCTTTCCTTCCATTCACCCTCGGTAAAACGGAATAATTTGGCACGATGAACATACAACGGATCTTCGTCCTCTTCGCCGGTTTTAACTTCAACCTGTAATGTTCGAGTTTAATATTAAAAAAAATGTTAGCGAAATACGAATAGACGTACCTTATCGGGCAATGGTATTACTGGCGTAAAGTATGTGTTATTTTCTTCCTCCTCATGGTATTCGCCCTCACCATCATCACCGTCATCAGCATCACCGCCTAGTTTTAACGGACTTTTTCCAGTCTTGCCAGGGCTCTTCGGCTTAAAGGTAAAACTAAACTCCTTTTTGTCTAGTGAGAAGGCATTTGTCCCTGAATCTCCTGCATTGTTAGATGTAGGCATTGCAGGCGATTCCATTGCTTTTGAAGATAGGCTGAAACTGAAAGTTGCCTTGCCAAGTGGTGTGCTACCAGGTTGTTCGGTGGTGAGCCCGGTCGAGGTGGCTGTAGGAGGGGCAAATGAGAACGACGATGTTTGTGTACTATCGGCTGTAGTGACAGGAGTTGCACCGAAACTGAAGCCACCGCTAACAGGTTTAATTGTTGTTGCCGGTTCCGTTTTAGGGGTTGTCGTGGTTGCAGCAGCGGCGTTAAAACCAAAACTGAATTTCTGCGAGGGATTTGATAAATTTAGTACATTGTTCGAGCCCGCAGGATCTTTTTTGGGCACAGTGTCATCTTTGGGAGCGTCACAAGCTTTGCAGTAAATGGCATCACCAGTATTGGAAAGGTAACAACTTTGGCATGTCCATGATCCAGCCTTTGGTTTAAAAGCATCACCAAAGCCTGCGGTTGGTTCTTTTGGAACTGCAGGTTTAGACTCAGTTGCGGGTTTGGAAGCAACTCCTCCGGCACCAGTGTTTGCTGCGCCAGTGGCTGGAATACCAAAAGTAAATGTAGACTTTGTAGTGGCCGGCGCCACAGTAGCAGCAGTTGCTGCTGCCTGAGCTGGTGAAGCAGCTGCACCAAATCCAAAACTGAATGTTGTTTTACCACTAGTGGCCAACACATTGGATTTCACCTCCTTTTTGGGCACAGTATCATCCTTTGGACAATCACAAGCCACACAATACAAAGTTTCTGCTGTATTCGAAGTGTAGCAGTCTTTACATGACCAAGAGCCTGCCTTCGGTTTAAACGCATCGCCGAATCCCTTTGTAACGGACTTATTATCAGTCGATTTGTTGTCCTTATTGGCCTCAACACTGTCTCCAGACATTTGGGCTTGTACTTTTTCAATGGCATCCAGGAACTGTTTGCAAGTTTCCGGAAGCTTAAAGCGAACCGTCAACATTTCTGTAACCAATTCGTTTTCAGAATAGTCCTGCCCGGCCCATGATACAGCTGTCTGCGAATTTTTGGCATACTTGAAATGGGTATCTTTGTAGATACGTTGGTTGCAACACAGCTTGTGGATTTGCTCGCGTCGCATTACCAAGCGCACTTTGTTGCTGTCATCCTTATCTTGCAATAGTTTTATGTTGCCCAAACCTCTCTCCTTCCACTCACCTGCTTCCTTGTCGAAGCGTAAAAGCTTGGCTCGGTGTTCGAACAGACAAGTTTCGTTTTCTTCTCCTGTAGTTACTTCCACCAACTCTGGCAGGGGAATAACGGGCTTAAACTGAGCTGTGGGAACATATTCATCTTCGCCATCAGAAGCAGTAGATTTGTTTAAAGCTGCTGCATTCGTCGAGTCATTTGCACCGACACTAGGAGACGCTGTGGAACCCATTGTAGCTAGAGGTGCACTAAATGGCGATGTTTGCGATTTATTGAGATTGGAGAATATACTTGCGAATGGTGAGGCTGCCGCTGCTGTTGTAGTGGGAACAGATGCAGTAGTATTGGTACTGCCAGTTGTAGAAGCTGCAGAAGTTCCAAAAGAGAAGCTAGCAAAAGGCGATGCTGTCGTAGTTGTAGTTTTAACCGTCGATTCAGTGCTGGTTGTTTTGGTTGAGAGATTTAGACCACTAAATAATGATTTGGAGGCCGGAGTTGTTGAAGCGGTGCTGGACACAACTGTTGTCGATGGTGCAGATGACGCGGTGAGGGTCTGTCCGAAAATTGGTTTAGGCTGAGAAGGGGTACTTGTGGCAAAATTGGTTGTTGATGATTTTGCCAAGGAGAATGGGGCGCTAGATTTGGCTGCGGTGTCCACTGGTTTTGCTTTATCGGCCTCAGGTTTGTTAGAAGCCAAGGACTCAGCTTCCTTTTGGGCCTTCTTAAAAGCTTCTTGGAACTCCTTGGCAACATCGGGGACCTTGAAGCGGACGAAGAATTTCTCCAAACGCAATTCCTCGTCAGCAAAATCGTTGGCCGCCCATATAAAGCCTTTGGTCTCCTTATTGGGTACAGTCAATATCAGTTCCGGAGTAATCTTGTGATTTGCACATATTTTGTGAGTTTGATCGCGACGCATGAGAATGCGCGATGAGCCATCTTTATTCTTAAGAATTTTAATATCGCCGATACCACGTTCCTTCCACTCCTTTTCGACGTGACGGAACAGTTTGGCTCTGCTGCAGAACATAACTTCCTCGTCCTCTTCGCCTGTACGCACTTCTATCTCATCTGGCAAGGGGATAATGGGTTTGAAATCTGGGCGTGGATCATATTCGGCATCTTCTGCACCAGACTTATTGAAATCGCTGCCTACACTTTCGGTCGTCTTATTCAAAGTTGTGTTGACTTCATTAGCTGAGCTGTTCATTTGAGCAGCTGTTGCAGCGGCTATATGTGGTTTGAAGCTGAATGTTGACGATGTAATTGCGGTAGTCGATCCAAATATGTTTGTGGATGTAGCTGTGCTTGCTGGAGCTACAGCAGCGGACGTGGTTGTCGTCGATTTATTAACTGGGATGATACCACTAGCAATTTGTCCTGAGAACGGCTCAGTTGGTTGACTAACCAAACTGCCTTTGATATGATGTGACGGTATGGTCACACTGAGCGGTGCTTGTTGTTGAGTTTGCATGGAAATACTGTTGGGATTTGGTAATGGGTCAGAGCTGGTAATGACGACATTGGCTGGTGGACCCTTTTCAACTGGCTGACTATTCAGAGCCTTATTAAAGGATATGGGCGCGGTGGTAGGTTGTTGTGGAGGAGCCAAAGCACTTCCTGATTGGGGAGGTGCAACCATGTTGTGACTCAAGGGAGTTGAGAATGATGGAGGTTGCATTCCAGATGTAGCAATAGATGTTGGGGTCATTGCAACGGGGGGTTGTTGTAGAAGATTGTACAAGTTGCTTGGTCTTGAGGGATCTGTTGCACCTCCCATGTTTGGAGGCTGGTTAGGTGGCGGCAAAAGTGGAGTGGACTGCGGTGGCATATTGAAGTTCATTCCACCGGGTGGCACTGTGGGATCTAAATATGGCGGCATAGTAGGTAAGCCAGTATTCCTACCAGCACCCAAACTTTGCGGACCGCCACTCTGGGGAGCCATCATATACGGTGGAGCATGACCATAGAAGTTAAGAGGATAATTCGGCGTGGGAGGAAACATTGGGCTGTTGTATGCTGCAGCCTGTAAGCGCTGTTGCTGTGCCATAAATGGGGAATTGACCAACATGTTACCAGGACCTCCGCTTACCGATCCAGGGCCATATTGATTAGTCTGATGTTGTTGCTGCTGCTGTGGTTGTTGGGGATACATTTGCTGCTGTAAAGTCTCCTCAATGATGTACAAATCGTCCAGGACATTGGAGGCATCGTCTCTTGAGGGAGGATTTGAAGAAATTCGAACCTTTTTGATGGCATCTTCCAAATTTGACATTTTCTCCTTCAGCACTGTAATTTCTTTGGTCACTTCACGAAGTTCCGTTTTAAGAGCATCAACAATGGCATCTTTCTGAATTGTTAGGTTCGAGGCCATTTGCTTTACTAAATTCTCCAATTCTTGATTCTGTTGCAAGAGCATAGCATTATTGGGAAGGGTATCTCGTCTTGAGCGGTTCGAGTTCAATATGCTAGCTGGCGGCAGCATGGAATTTTCGGCATAAAAATCAGCCTCTGCGTCTTCATAGGTACTAGAATTGTTATGTCCAGTAATGGGACTGAAGTTATTCGAAGAATCACTTAGGAAGCGATTGGAAGCTTGCTGAAGCCTCTTAATTTCGTCGTGAATGACGGAATTTAGAGGGTGATTGGGATCTGCGTGGGCACTGCTCTTTAATAAAGCCAATGTTTGGTTTAAACAATCCGAAGCACGGTCCAAATATAAACGCTTGCTTTTCTTGGGCGTTTTACTGGCTTCGTCCAATTTTCGATAGGCTTCGGCTTGCAAATATGTAGCATATGGAAGTTGAATGCCTGACAGTTCTTCTATTAAGTCTTCGTATTCGGATTTTTTGAAGTAACGTGTTGCTAGATACGACACAGCATCTTCAGCCATGGACGCGACTTCTCTTTCAATGGCTGCTGTATTAGCTTTGGCATACTTAAAGTACTTTCGGAATGGCTCAAGCACAGCTTTATTGTGCATCTTCATCATATTAAGACCATGTCTATAAATCGACTCAGCCCTTGCCTCAAGGAATGCCTTCTCGACTGGTTTCACAATATCCTGAGCTCTAGCCACAAATATCTGGCCCAATTTAAATACAATTGCCATATCCAATTTTGGCCCGTTAATACCACGAACAGCCTCAATTCCATATTGTAGATTGGCTCGAAGTTCAGCCAAATTACTGCCATTACTGAGGTTCTTATAGACCAAATATGCACTGTTCCACCACTGACATTGTTCTTCAGAACATAGTTGGTGTTGCAAGTTGACAAAGGGTAGTATTTTCGGTCGACCAGCTGCGTAACTATTACCCGATTGATAGCTGTCAAAAGCTTCGCGGTCCACTTCCAATGCTCTCTTTGCCTGTATTGTGGCAGCATACAGGAAACTTTCCACATCCAATTGATTCAATGACTCCGCTCCACAGAATAACAGATTTTGTGTCGAGAAATTTAATCCACTGAAGTACTTGGCACGTACATAGGCCAGATTATCATTTCCTAAACATAAGTAGACCATGTGCTGTAGTGATTGAGGTCTATGGTATTGGGCGGATTCTTCATAAGTTTCGAGGTCAGCGTATGTTGGCAGTTCGTAGAGGGGTTCATTAAATTTCTCACATTTCGCAAAGAGCGATGTTTGTTCCTTGACTTTTTGGTCGCTATTACAGAACAAAAGAGCGAACACGTTGCGCCTCCATTGACGATCACAGCAAATTTGCCTGACCTGTGCCAGTAAATCGTCGCCACTGCTCCACAGCGTAGATGGTTGATTTCGCAGCAAATTATTTACGTTATGGGAGTTTTCTTTGTTGGCGTTAACGTCATCTTGAATACATGAGAGCAAAGTTCTGCCAGTCTGCAAATAATAAAAGTATGGTATTAACCCAAATATCAATAACCAACGAGTTATATTTACTTACTTGAGCACAACGGAACGATCCTTCCCGTTGCCACACAGCAATCAACTGGTTTGCATCCTCATCGCAGTGCTTCATCCACGGTTCCTTTTTGTCAGCAGAATTTTCTTGGTATGACAACAAGAGCAAGGGCAATGCAGCGCGCGCCGCTTCCTTCCATTTATTTTTATTCTGCAACAATTCTCGTTTGAATATTAAGGCACTGGCATGTAAAAGCAACTGTCCTCGGTAGTGGGCCAAAAACAATTCAACCAATTCCTTCTGGGCGCACAATTTATCCGATATTTGAGAAATTTTAAACAGATATTGGTCGAATTGAAATAGCAAATTTGCAGTTTCGGTAACTCCGCCTCCCACCACAGAGGAATTCGATGTCATGAGGAAAGAAATCTGAACTTGACGTTCCAAGCAGATGGCCAACAGCAACCAGAAATCCCAGTCTTTCTTTGTATTTGGCATTTGTTCATACTTGTTGAGCACCAACCAAACAACATTGTACCATTCGCTGCTGTTAACGAACTCGTCTTTTTGTTTCATTTCCAGTTTATGCACGTATTTGAAAGCATCCAATATTTGATTCTGTTCGACATAGTAACGGACCAATCTTACTCTCAAATGAACATCGTTGGGTTTGTTGGAAATCTCTTTTTGCAATAAGGCCTCAACTTGATTGGCCTCGATGTTGTCCTTGTTCATCAGTTTGAGCCGCAATGAGAATACTGCATCATGCTGAACCTTTTCCGATTCAGCCAGTTCACACCAGTATTTGGCTTTATTGCAATTCAGATTTTTATCCTCAAGTAACAATTGACAGACTTCAATGAGAACATCATGTTGTTTAGGGTTCAGTTGGAGTGAACGTTGAAAAGATTGTAAGGCCTTTTCGGTCTTTTTCTGCCGCTGGTAGCATTGACCCAATAATTTGTGGGCCTGATCATTGTCTTCCTTAACCGATAGATATGAACAAAGATACTGTTCGGCCGAAGCATATTCATTGATTTTAAAATAAAATTTTGCAAAGGTGTATCCACGTAAGTTGCGCTGCAAGGAAAAAATAAATGCAGGATGAATATAAAAAACAAAACATATAAATAAAAAATAGAAGTTATTCCACTGCTATTTTTAAGAAAGTATATCCTTTAAATTTTCTTCTATTTTCTGATGTTGGCAATAAAATATTGACCCACAAAGCCCTGAAACAGTACCAATAGGTTTCTAACATTGACAAAAATTATGACAACATTAAATGTTTCTTCCATAAAAAATATACTCGATTAATATTATGATCGATTGGTCGGCAGATGTGGTATATATGGGAGCCATAACTAAAAAAGTTTTCACCAATTCATGTAGGCTAATTGTTTGGCCGAAAATTAGCAAAATCTAATTGTCTGAAGAATATTCGAAAATCAAAAAAATATTGGGACAATTGAAAAATCCATCGATCTAAGTAGCTTTTTTTAACAAAAATTTAATTAAAATTGGAATGATATAGAGTTGAATTAAAATCATTGTTGTTGGGAAATAAACACTTCCATCCACTTTTTTTCAAACGTAACGACATTTCTTTGCACAGTTTACAAAGAGAGTAATCACAAAACAAGCCGGCTTCTTTATGGCGCGCAAGAGAAAAAAAAAAAGAGAGTTTGCAGCCACACGCAAACAGTCATAACCTCAACAACATCTGTCTGGGGCCATGTCTGCTTTCTATGCCGCATTCATCCAACAAATTGAAAAAGGAATCAATAAAAATGGTTTGTAAAGATGAATGTTTGCCTTTTTGCCTCAAATTTTGCAATTTTCACACCAACGCATTCGATTGCATGCACATCAGCCAGCCAATTCGTGTCCAATGACAAACCAAACCATCAAACGTCATTCACCTGAAAAATCAATATTTTTTGTTTATTCTTCAGGAAATTCTTACCTCATGTTCCGATTTTATTTTAGCGAAAACAGTTCGAACTTGGGCATCAATATCTTTTTTGGTTTTATACATTTTTACTGCTGGGCTTTTATTTATTAGACGCTTCTAAACAATTGCTGGGAAACAAACAGCAGACAAAAAGAAAATACCGCCGCACACGAGTTTTTCCTGTGCAGCTGCTTGCTTGCAAGTTGTGAAATTTACAGCCGATTTGTATGCGTTGGTATAAAGAATTCGAGCAATTCAAATTATAATTGTTTCAAAGGAGTGTTCCGGATTTTGTAACAAATAGCACTTATTTTCAATGGCTTTAACAATTCTTTATCAAATTTTAGAAATTTTCCGTCTTTCTGTTAAATCACTCCCAAACACGAATAAAATTTTCGCGAATGCTCGTTGCCGCCGCAATTTTGTTTGGTGCCGTTGTGCAAATATAAGCAGGGTTGTATTTGGTAGTTGTGTGTGTTGTCATTCAATGTTGGCCACCTAAAAGACAACGTACGATACACGTTGACGTTTAAATTATTTTGTATTTTTTGAATCGCCCCGTGTTTTCAAAACTAATTGTTATAAGAAAATTAAATTATTTGTTATAATTTTACAGCTGGGCACAACTAGAAAGGAACTTAAAATTACGTTTACATACAAAAGGTGAGAATACATAAAACGCTTTTTGACTGGCTTAAGTCATCGGTTGGATTCTTCGCAAAAGAACAAAGGAGCTTTAGGTTGCCTAAGATCAATTTCAGTTCATTGTTTATATTTGTTAACCCTACGCCCCTTTGTTCTTTTACAAAGAAGCCAACATTTTATGCATTCTCACCTTAACCCTGATAATTGGCCAATCACAATAAAGCTGCCTATAAAAAACATATCTTAAATTTATTGTGTTTGTTCAATTTATTGTGATTTGTATGTAAACCTACTTTTAACTTTAAAGGTTAAAATAAAACTCAAATGGAATATTGAGATTATTTCAATTGCAAATGTAAATCAGTTGCTAATAACATCTTTACTAGAAAAAATACAAAACTTTCGTTCGAATAAGAGTCGTATTTCATTAATAATACATAGAAGCTAGGAGGTTTGCTTTCTTTACCGCCTTTCATTTCTCAAAGAAGGTAAATTCTAAAAACGTTGAATAATTATAAAGAAAAACAATACAAGCAAATATTTGATAGGAAAATAAAAGGTCATCTTTCATCTTTGTAGAATCTTTTAAACGGGGTTATAGCAAATTTTCTAACAAAAATTATTTACCATCATCAAAAATCTAAAGGCGAGAAGGCGTTTTTGTCTTCAAATGACTTCTTCGGAAAAGAAAAAAAGCGTAGAACCAAAATCGAACTAAGTCAACCTAAAACTTCTTTGTTCCTCGACGAAGAAGCCAGTCGATGACTTAAGGTGGAAGTACATAAGGAGCTTTTTTGACAGACATAAGTCATTGGCTGGCCAATTCTATTGAAAAAAATGGGGAAAACCATAAGAGTAATGACTATAGGGTGGTACCGTTATATGAAAGCTATACAACAACTGTTTTTTTTTTTTTTTTTGGAAGGGGTTAGGAATCTGTACAACCTTCAATTACCAAATTCCAGACAATTCCGTTAAGAAATGTGCCGAAAGACGTCGAAATGCTTAAAATGAGGATGTACCATTATATGGGGTCTATACGAAATTTGGGTCATATAGCCCATCTATGATATTGATCTAATTCGTTTTTGTTTGTTTAATAAAAAACATAATTTTCTTTCTTATCTTAATTCATATAATTTTGTATGTTTTGTCGTTTTTCTGTTATGTATGTATGAACACAGTTCCCAATTTTGGCACAGGCTATATCCCTGCAAGCATTTGGAAGTGATTCACTCACTTCCTTTTTAAGATACCACTTTTGCGACGCTTCTAATCCTAATAAATGCGACAGTATGCATGGTACAATAAAAAGGTAAGGTAGAGCAACCAGCTGATTACAATTTGTTTTCTAAGACTTCTGCCAATTTTGTGTATGTATTTGTTGTTCTGAAAAATAAAAACGAAATGTTTTCAAAATCAATGATTGGAAGAAACTTAAATTGGGGGGCGCGCATTAATAATTTCAACCAGATTTGCCATGGAATTGAAAGATTGAACACTTGGCAACATATTCTTGAGAGAACATACAGGCACTTCATTCATCTTTCGCGCTATTTGACTCATTTTAGAAATGAACAAAAAATATCAAATAAATTAAAACCACTTGTTGCCTATAATTTTGAATAATTCTGACAGGAAGCGGGCGTAGCCTTAAGCTGGGAATACATAAATCGCTTATTTGGCTGGCTTAAGTCATCGGCTGGCTTCTTCGTAGAGGAACAAAGGACTTTTAGATTGACTTAATTCGATTTTGACCCTAGGCTCCTTTGTTCATTTCCGAAGAAGCCAGCCGATGACTTAAGCCAGTCAAATATGCCCTTTATGTATTTATACCCTTAGGGCTGTATTTCTGCACTTTTACTAAGCTGTTCTACCTACTTATTGTACCATGATAGTATGTACATTTACAATAACAAAATTTGTTATTTGTCCTTTTTTCGAAAAAACTATCCGATGACTCAAGCCAGTTAAAAAAGATTTTAATTTATTCTCACCTTTAAGCCATTTGTGTATTCTCATCTTTAGGTCGAGTCCGGTATTTTGAAGGTTTCAACAACAATTTTCAACGAAATTAGCTGCAATTCCAAAATAGAAAATATTTGACATGAGTGTGGCCTCGACATAATGGAATTTTTGGAACACATTTTGAAGATAATGGTGTTTTTCTTTACTCAAAAAAAGTAGTTTTTGCAAGAATCACAAAGTAAAGTCATTGTAAAATTAAGAAGGTAAAGTTGTTTAAAATAAGCACATCTATCTCTGCATTTTCTATAATTTACCTTGTCAAATATCACTGAACAGAAAAAGGAGGTTTCCATCTCTGATTTGTGTAAAGACAATGGATTTTTAAATATGTATTTTGACAATGAGATGTTGTCAAAAAAATAATTAAAAAAAATTGCAAACATATGATAGCATTACTTTACCTTCTTAATTATACCACGAGTGAAATTTAAAAGTAGAACCAGAGGAACGAGGTGATGTTTCTTTCGCGTAAAAGCATAGACAAATGAAGGTATAGACTAAAAAGTTTTAAAATTTTCCCTTCCGGCAGATGTCACTATTGTTGATCTTGGGCCAGTCAAGTCACTCAGGGCTAGTGAAGTCACTCGACTTCGAAAACAACTTATTCACTTTTCTGCTATTTAAATTCTATATTTTTATATTTCACGACATATTTGGATAATGTAAAAGTAAACAAAGTTACTATTTCGTTTTTAATTGATAAATAATAAAGAATCATAAAAATATTCAATATTTTGTAGTTTGAGAGAATTGAGTGAGTCTACTGAACCTCTCTCACAGCATGAACGACATCTATTGAAGCACTTTTTTCGAAGATAACAGATGAGACAACTTTTTAGTCTATACCTAATTTGTCTATGGTAAAAGTAGTTCGAACTACTCAGAGCGAATATGACATTTCTCTCTTTTACTAGGTTTAACATCAATAAAGTACGGGAACTCAGCAATTAATACTGCAACGAATTATGAAGGTGAGGATACAAAGAGTATGTTTTTTGCTGGCTTAAGTCATCGTCTGGTTCACCCTACGTCCCTTTCGTTTCTTTACAAAAAGGCCAGTCAATGACTTAAGTCTGTGAAAAACTTCTTCTATGTAAACCGACGAATACATTCTTGTTTCTCTTCAGAGGTGGAAACCACGAAAATATGGAATTTGTGTGAGAAAGAGAGAGGGAGAGAGAGTGAGTTCATTCTATCAAATTTTTGCTTATTCCATAGAAAAAAAAGGTATATGATTTAATGACAGTAAAGTCACTCAGAGCTAGTAAAGTTACTCGACTTCGAAAACAATTTATTCATTTTTCTCCTACTTATATTTCACGACAAAGTTGGATAATGTAAACAGTTTTTAATTCATACATATTTGTAAATTATACAAATATTTGGTATTTCGTGTATTGAGAGAATTGAGCATTGTAGAAGAATATAGGTAGACGCGTCGACACAGCTGCTGGGGCAATGAACTGTCAAACCAATTTTGTAATTGAAAACGTTGAATGAAAAATTGTTTAAATTTGTACAAATTCTTGAAAAATACGTATCATAACCACCTCCACCACCATAAGATCTATTTATTTAAAAAAAAAAAAATTGACATATCAATGCGTTGATGCATCTACCTGTATTCTTCTACCATGGAATTGAGTGAATTGGGTTGAGCTCTCTCACAACATAAACGACCTCTATTGTAGCTCTTTTTTCCAATATAACAGATGAGACAATTTTTTAGTCTACAGGGTGAGATAAAAAACTGCAACAAAGTCAAACGCCATAATTTTTATTTTTTTTTAAATTTTATTGAATGAAAGCAAAAAATGTCGGAAATAGCATCAAATTTTAGAATAAGTTTAGTTTGGTTCGAATTGGTCACCTTTGGCACAAATTATGGCCTTAAAACGGTATTTTGCTCTGCGGTATTTTGGCCCATTCCCGGCGAATCGCTTGCTTGAGGTGATCGACACTTTGGTATCTTTAAGTGCCAACCTTGCTTTCCAAAATATTCCAGACACAATAGTCCAACACATTGGTATCCGGAAAATTTGGTGGCCATTGTGTACTGAAAATGAAGCGAGGAACCTCATTATGTAACCATTCTTGGGTGGCGCGTGCTGAGTGCGATGGTGCTGAGTCCTGTTGGAAAGTCCAAGGTCTGCGGCCAAAATGTTTGCGTGCCCAAGGCTTTAATACACCCTCCAGAATATTTTCGCGACAATATTCGGCAATTATTCTGATGCCACGGTCGATTATAGGACACGAGCGGAGAGCGACCATCGGCTGTTATGGCGGCCCACACCATGACCATGGCCGGCGCCTGAGTTCTGGTGGCTAACCGAAGGTGAACATTTTCAGCTGACCTCTTTGGCAAGAAACTGCTGGACAACGAAACTCATCGGAGAAAACTAAATTCGACAGTAGCTCTTTTGAGTCTATTATATTCTATCTGTTGCGGTGTAAGTTTTTGCACTTTTTATACCCTCCACCATACTATGGAGCGTATATTAATTTTGTCATTCCGTTTGTAACTCCTTGAAAGTATATATATTCTTGATCAGCGTAAAATTCTAAGACGATTGTCCGTCCGTCTGTCTGTTGTAATCACGCTATCTTTCGAACAAATTGTGATAGAAGGCTAAAATTTTGCACACATGTATATTTTGCTAGTAGGCAGGTTAAGTTCGTAAATGGGCCATGGACCAAGTTATCATATAGCCCCCATATAACGGTACCTCCCAATATTCGGTATTTTGA